TGCAGCTATAGTTGTTGATGCTACTGTAAGCAATAACGACTGCAGCAGCAGCGGCACCACCGTCGCTGAACGTGCAGCTTGCAGGTCTGTGAGAATCCTCAAATAATTATATTTTGTCTCCATATTCAATACTCTTAACCCCTATCTCTTCCTGGGATTAGAGGAGACATTCTAAAGGTCATGTAACTAGTTGAAATATAATTTTAGGTATTGTCAACGAGATATAGTGTGGTCAAGGTTCAGCACGTTCAAATAAAATTATATTTGATCTCATAATGTAGGTAATATGTTTATCCTTGAGTCAGGTCTAGAAGAAATTAGTTTTTGATAAAGTCTCATGTGTAACCTTATTATCAAGGTTCAAGTCATAGTTACACTAAAGAGACAACTGAGACATCTTGTACCATATGTCATATGTTAAACATTTGAATAGTCTACAAAACATATTATAGAATCCTTTAGTAATTTTCAGAACTGATTTTGTGAAGGATTTTATAATATTTTGAACCATAGAATAATTTACAGATCGATAATTACTTCAAATAATATTTGTAAGACAAAGATACATTTTTTTCAATGGTTGCAAACATATATAATATATTTCTAGTACTTTTGAAAAACAAAGTATTCTATACAACAATAAAAAACCATACAAGCCACAATATATGTCATTACTTAGAATCTGCATAATATGGAGACTTGACTCAAGGATAAACATATTACCTACATTATGAGATCAAATATAATTTTGGGTAATGTCAACGAGATATAGTGTGGTCATAATCGTCTTTGTAAAAATGACATTTGATATGATATGCAACCTTAGTTATTTATATATTATTTTTAAAAATATTCAAAATTATTGCTTTAAAAATATTTAAAAGTTATGAAGTTATAAGGATATGATATATGAATGCTAGTTTTGATAAGCTTATGTTATGATTTTTAATAAATAAAAATAATTATAAATGTTCTTATGCATTTGAAACACATACTGATTCAAAAGTGATTTATAAGTTTTTGATAAGAAGATTTATTTTCCTATATCAGCTTTGTTGGTATATGAATTGTCGATAGTAATTATTTGCTCATATTATATTGCTTAAAATTTCATATGTTAGGAGCAAGTCACATATTGATATGCTTGAAAAAGCTATTGAAGTATTTTAATTTTTTTATTTAGATTTGATACCAATAATATTGTTATATGGATTTGGATATTGTGAACACGTAAGGATGTAATTAAATTTTATCTAATATGTTATGGATATATGAGATAAGTTTGTTAATTTTACTTTTCTCCTATGCGAATTGTGGCGTTGCACCGTTCTTCACTTTTGGCTATGTGAGGGTGTTACATTCTAACCCATATGTTAGTTTAAACAATTAAATTTTTTGAGCTCAAATCATTAATTAAAAGGTAAAAGAGATATACGGTAGCGAATGCGAGAGAGCAGCGTACAGTGAATGCGTGCAGCTAGCGGCAGCGTAAAGAGAGAAGGAGAGAGAAAGATTAGGATCTTGAGTTTTCTGTTTGACGATCAGTGGTCAAACGTTGTCAGTTTTGATCTAAATTTTATATAGAAAATCCTTGCAACAAGCTTTACAATCCTAACAGTGTTAATATATAGTTTACCCTCTCTGAGGTAATTTTCTATTATATCTACTTTGTGAGATCTAGAATTTTTTTTTTAATGAGATCCATCTATACGATGATTATATATTATTCTTGAGCCAAGATTTATGTTCTTGATGTTATTGTGATTCTCTGGTTATTCTAGAGAAGATTTACTATAAACATGTTATCATTATTATTGATAGTGGAAATTTGAGGTGAACTACAGTCCCATAGTTTTTTCCATGTTGGGTTTTTCATGTTAAAAATTTAGTCTCATTATGTGATTGATTTATTGCTATATTGTTTATACTGTGCTGGTTGATATTTGTATTTTGATATCAAATTGGTATTTGATGAGGAACTCATTTTGATACACAAAGATGAAAAAGAATTATTCCGTTTTAACAGGTTTTCCTCAACAACACCTAGCAATGATCTTACCATTGTCATGCTATAATATTTGACTTAAAGCTTCGACATACTTCTTCCATGCTTTAAGTGACTACAAAGTCCAAGCGATTCCGTGACTACAAAGTCTATGAAATGGAAGGTTCTTTTATGTAGCTTCGAGAGAGAAATTACTGATGATCTTTCAGCTTGGGTTAGGCTCTCCGAAAGTTTGCTAATGCTCCCAAAGGTATTCTTTTCATAAATCAAGAGACAAATTAATAGACAAATCAAGAAAGTTCACAGATCAATCATTATATACCTTTTTCTTCTTTCGAGGGAAGTCTTCCATGTATTGCTTTACTGTCTATGCTGCTACTACTAGTCTTCCTCTACCCTTTTGACTGTTCATGAAGTGGCCATTCTCGTGACTTCTACATGATCATGGTTGTGATGGTTACATTGCATGGGTATTGCATGGGTGTTGTACCATGAAATTGTATCGCGCAGTGAGTTATTTATGGTTGAGAGAACTCCGTTTTGATCCTCTCCTCTCACCGCCACTGTATACCAACACAGTCTTCTCTTTCATACTCTTTTCGCAGTATATTTCTCAGTCATGCCTTAAAATATAGCTGACATGATTTATCTTATTTCAGCTTGTCGAATCACAGGATGATTGGAACCAACTGTTGTAGATGTGATCCCAACTTTAAGAGCAGAAAGCGACATCCATGTCTATGAAGAAGCTGCTCCATGTGAGTTGTTTGCCCCCAGGTTGCCACCAATTCCCAGTGTGAGTTGAGCATGTGGCTATGCTCTGGTATGGGCATCATGGTTGATGATGATGATGTGAAGCTTGCTGAAAACACGCTACTGTGAAAGAGATAAGCTACTGAGTTGGATGGCACTCTAAACCAGACAAACATATTATGGAGTGAGAGTTAATACAGTTTGCCAAAAGGTTAACACTAGGGTCTTAATTCAGTCATGGTAACAGCAAACATCCCTGGACCATTGATCTTGAGCACTGACCCACAGGGTATGCTGAGGAATGCAGACGACAAATTGGATCATGTAGATTTGCATTTGCATTTGTGTTTAGGGTTTCATTAGTCTAGTGGTGAACTGCTGAAAGGTTTTGTTTCTTCCATTGTTTGAGGCAGACTGTCCAATAATAGGCTAATGGACTGCATATACAAGAGTACAGGATTCTCAGCGGTCCATTATCCACACCTAATTAAAGATTCTGGACACTGATACTTCCACTAGATATATCATCTCAAGATTCCAGCATTCCTCATGCATTTAGTCTGCTTGAACATACACCAGAGGAAATCTCTCCACCATGAGGCCTTGAGCATGCGAGTATTTAAGAGAGATCTAATAATTGCATGTGAGCTGTGCCCAACTCAGCTATCTTCATCTCTTCCAAAGAAATATGCTGCTCTAAGCCTCTGTAGATCTGCTTTATCTTTTACTTTACTTTGTTCTCTTCCTTTTGGAAAACTGGGCTTGTCCACACCCCGAGCATCTCTCTTTACCTGTCTGCTTTAGGTGTGTTAACTACTACGTGCAACGTGTGTGAAGAGAGGGTGTTAAAAGAATCTCCATGGGTCGAACACTCGAACACAGTGCAAGGTGACAGGATCTGAAATCCACTGAGCATGCTTGAAAAGAATAACAGCTCTGGAGATGTCTGTGAACTCGGTAAAACTGCACCGACTTGATCTTGAGTTCCTTAATCATGAAATGAAGCTGATACCAATCAAGCAAACAAATGCTTGACTGTACATCAATTAATCTACACATTTCCATTGATTCCAAAAGGTAGAGCTTCCGTCTTCTCATGGTGATGTATCTGAGAGAGGTGGAGGTGCGATTATTGCCGCATTTAAGCAGTGGGAAAGTTGGAGCTTTCTACGAACTGTGAAGCAGAAGAATGGAAGGTAATGAGCACTTGGATCTCGAAGAATGGTGTTACTTTT